TCGGATCATTATCTTGATAAAATTTGAAATTGTCTCGTATATTCATATTGCGAGCACTTTTTATTAATTTGTCTTTTAGAATACTTAAATATTTATTTTTATCCAGAATTCAGTCAATGTAAATTAATTCGCCCACTCCTGAAGTTGATGCAACCCCACACCATTAAACTCCCGTCATCGTGTTTCATTGTTGGTCTTAAATTTTTTTAGTTCTTCGTTTCCTTTACGCCATATCATTTTCCGTCTATCAGATCCAAAAATATTAAATTTGCTCTCATCAGCGAATATTACATCATTTTACCATTCTTGTTGTTTAGAAATAAATTCCTTAGCGAAAATTAATTTTTTCTTACGATTTATCTCATTTATGAATGACTTCTTACGAGCAATTCTACCGTTGTAGCCATTTTTCTTCAACGCTCGACGAACTGTATCAAGATGTACCTTTTTGGCAGTCTCTTCATATAATTCTGTAGTCAATTGTGGCTCACTTAAACTAGGATTTTTAAAAATTTTTCTAATAATTTTACGTTTATTTCGTAAATCAAGTAATTTTGGACGTCCTTTCTGAGGTATCGATTCAATGCGATCTTCACGAATATATTTTTTTATGATGTCTTCTACCGTACTTTTACTTAAATTTAATAATTCACCAATTCTCGATATGATTTGCCTTTTTCATAATGATAAATAACAAGCTGGTATTGATCAAATGAAATATTTTGGCCTATGCGTCACATTTTCAGGACGTAGTTTCACCTCAAAAATGCAAATGACGCATCGAACCAATGTGAAAATCAGAGAACGTGGCCGCTCTCAGACTTCCCTCTACATAAAATATACTTAGTGTCCGAATACTTTTGCGGTAATAAAATTAAGCATAATTTAGCATTTTTTAATATATTCCAAATTATATCAATGTTATAAATAAAATTTATGTTTCTGAATACTATAATGAATGTTTTAATTAAAAAAAAAACTATAAACTCCTTATTCTAATAAAAACTATGTTTAAAGAGTAATAATTTTTAAAATATCATGGTGTCCGAATATTAATGCGAGTAACTGTACATGTTGGCACTAAAATAATAGAAATAGCTGCTTATATTGCTATTAGCATATTTAACGAGAGCTATTCTGTAGTGCTAAAAACGATGGATGTTTTGGAATTTAAAATTGGCCAGCAATGCAAAATTTACGCCGATTTATTAGACAGCAAGTGATTGAGCAGACAGGAGCGCCAAGCGTGTAGCAGCAAAGGAGGCGCGAATAGCTCGTAAACAGAAAAAACTTGCAAACAACCAATTTTTCGAGGAAATTGAGGAGCTAGAATTGCAGAATAGTCGAAAGGAGCTGTGAGTTTCCAAAAACTGTTATTTATTTGTTTCGTTAATTTGAAACGCGTTTTTCTCAGAACTACTATTTCGCAACTTGCGTGCCTTAAAACTCAAAAACTATTCAAACAATTGCGTTGCTCTTATGCGTGCATGCACATTATTACTTTTATAATAGAATGAATCTATATATAATTAATATTTATTTATTTAAACAAATTTTTTCAAATAATTAAGATGAAAATTTTCCGTAAAATTTGAATCTTTTTTTTCGAAGTCGTTTATTTTCACTAAATTTCTATTTTTTTTAAACAAGTTTAGGTTTATTTCTCATGACTTTTATTTCTCGTGATTTTTATTAAAAAAACAAATTTTTTAGAGTAAGTATACAAGGGGGGTTCTAACCCAAGTCCTCTGAGGGGGGGTGCGGGGCGAGGGGAACTGCGGGCGCGGGGGCTGACGTCATGCGGGAGAGGGGACTTACCGACATTTCTTTTTTACTGACATATTACCAGTATTTTTACCAACATATTTATTTTTTACCAACATATTTATATTTTTACCAACAAATTTATATTTACCAACATATTTATTTTTTACCGACATATTATTACCGACATAATTGGTAATTTTTATCGACCGTGCGACCTGTTTTTACCGACATATCTTTCCAAATATTTTTTAACATAATATCGATATATTGACCGTAATAATTGACCGTTTCACTAATCCTCCCCTTTTCGACGCGTTCGCGGCCTTCCCCTTCCTTGTTGGCAGCGGTTCGCGAGCGGGCCGCGCCACCCACTCGCCTTTCCCCCTCTCCGGCCACCGGCGCGCCGTCTTCTAGAATATTCTCGAATATTCCAGAAAGATCTTTTGAGGAGAACATTCGGTCTCGAAAAGAATTTTATCTAATGTATGCCTGCATAGAAATACTTTGATGGGAAGAGACATTCTTTTAGTTTTTATCTTCAACAGCCCCCCCCTCGAAAAAAAAAATTTTGTCTAACACTAATGTCTGCATAGAGATACTTTGATGGGAAGAGACATCTTTTTAGTTTTTATGTTCAACAGCCCCCCGAAAAAAAGAATTTTGTCTAACACTAATGTCTGCATAGAGATACTTTGATGGGAAGAGACATCTTTTTAGTTTTTATGTTCAACAGCCCCCCGAAAAAAAGAATTTTGTCTAACACTAATGTCTGCATAGAGATACTTTGATGGGAAGAGACATCTTTTTAGTTTTTATGTTCAACAGCCCCCCGAAAAAAAGAATTTTGTCTAACACTAATGTCTGCATAGAGATACTTTGATGGGAAGAGACATCTTTTTAGTTTTTATGTTCAACAGCCCCCCGAAAAAAAGAATTTTGTCTAACACTAATGTCTGCATAGAGATACTTTGATGGGAAGAGACATCTTTTTAGTTTTTATGTTCAACAGCCCCCCGAAAAAAAGAATTTTGTCTAACACTAATGTCTGCATAGAGATACTTTGATGGGAAGAGACATCTTTTTAGTTTTTATGTTCAACAGCCCCCCGAAAAAAAGAATTTTGTCTAACACTAATGTCTGCATAGAGATACTTTGATGGGAAGAGACATCTTTTTAGTTTTTATGTTCAACAGCCCCCCGAAAAAAAGAATTTTGTCTAACACTAATGTCTGCATAGAGATACTTTGATGGGAAGAGACATCTTTTTAGTTTTTATGTTCAACAGCCCCCCGAAAAAAAGAATTTTGTCTAACACTAATGTCTGCATAGAGATACTTTGATGGGAAGAGACATCTTTTTAGTTTTTATGTTCAACAGCCCCCCGAAAAAAAGAATTTTGTCTAACACTAATGTCTGCATAGAGATACTTTGATGGGAAGAGACATCCTTTTAGTTTTTATCTTCAACAGCCCCCCGAAAAAAAGAATTTTCTCTAACACTAATGTATGAGATTATCGCATACCTACACAGATATTTTTTTTTTCAAAAGTAGGAATGGAAGTAAAAGAGATATACTTTTTTAATAAAGTAATATATTTTTCAGAGTGTTATTTCACTTTTTCATAGCCTCATACATAATATTTTTCAAGGTGCACGCTAGCAACTCGCAATCAACGAGCGATTCACAGTCATAATCGTTGCTTTCACATATCGCTTTTGTCGCATGATATATTTTAGTAATGTCCTTCTCTCGAAGAACATTTATAAAACTTCGAAATTTTACACTAACGAGATGCGTATTTTCAGACAACCATACATACATATACCCGAGTAGAAATTGAATCTAGTAATTGTCTAGTCATGACATAGAAAAGTTGGGTTTTACATCGTTACTATCTAGTAGTATTAGCTAGGCATTAGCTCAGAATGTAACGCTCACTTCTCCTAATGGCTGTACTAGAAAAATTAGCTAATAGCTAGGCAAAAATAATACAGTAATATAATACAGTTATAAGATGGAAAATGTTAGCTAATCATTAGCCAGGAATGTAACGCTCATTTCTCCTAGTGGGTGTAACAAAAAAATTAGCTAGTAGCTAGAAGAAAAAAAAGTAATTCGTAGCTATCTAGCTCGGACTAGACAGATTTTTTCTAGATATTTTATTTTAATTAGAGGTTTGATTTATTTTCTCCTTCTATCTTTCTTTTTCTCTCTCGAAGAGGTGGAATTCAATGTAGTTTGGTTCTAGAAATTCTTCTTGACTTACGTGTTATGTTAATATTCCCTCCATTCGATTGGAAAAATTTTGTCTTTCGCTGCTGGGATTTGAACCTAAGACCTCTGGTTCTTGAGTCACTCATCTTACCTACTAGACCACTGTCACTGTCGTTAGCGAACGTTTTATATTGGCTACTATACTTTACTCAGCGCAGTTCTATCTCATGGTTAGACGAATAAATTATACAGTAACGAGATAGAAAACTCGGTGTTTGGTACATTGGGTCAAATCTAATCTTTAATCTTTCGTGCGTCGTTGCGAGTACACTTACTTGACCTAACCTACACTGCATACACTTTCGGAACTCTCTTTTTACTAAAAAGTGATCTGTGCTGTGATCTCTCGTTCGAAAATCTTTTTGCTGGGAATAAATATTTCCATTTGTGATTGTCAAGATTACATTCTATCAGTATATTGTTGCTGTGGTATTCTCTTTTAAAGGTATGTTTATAACAAGTTAATATAAATATATTAAGAAATATATATAACGTCTCTGACAGTAACTCCAGTAACTAGCGAGTCTATGTCTCGTAGCTATGGGCGGAGGGATGCGGCGAGATACGATTCGCGAGTGTCACGGTCGCACGTCGGCCGAAGGCATCTTTCTTTCCGCTGCCGCTTTCTGTACGCTGATTTGTTGAGAAAATAATTAATTTCTCAAAAACTATTGCGAATATCGCAAAACGGCACAGGACTTTCTTGCTCACCTCAATCCGTT